GAGTTGCAAAAATTAATTTTGGAATAATTAAAGTGCGTACTTCCAGCGATGAAGTGAAAGGTCATATAACCTTTTTTTGGGATTAAACTAAAGTTTGATCATTAGACTACAATCCCTGAAAATTCATTTCCAGCACCTTAATCTCAAAGTCATTCGTAATAAATTGTTTACTTTCAACATAGAAAGCTATTTTAACAATAGTTGCTAACAATATTGAGGTTATTGTTGATTTTAGTCTAATGTTCAAACTTTAGTTTAAGCCCAAATAAAAGGTTATATGGCCTTTTGCTTTATTGTTAGAGGTACTCAAAAATGTAATACAAAATGACTTTGAGGTCATGGTGCCAGAATGGTGCTTTTGGGAATTGTTGTAAAAACATTAAGCTTTAATTTAAGCCCAAGTGGAAGGTTCTATGACCTTTTTGTTTCAGTGCTATAGGTACTCAAAGTTTGCCAATAACGCGATTTTTTGACACTTTAAATCCATTTTTCTCAAAAATTAGAGCTGATATGAAATTCTCGTTTACGGATTTGTGTTCAACATAAAAAAACCTATCAGAAACACCTTTGAGATTTCCCGCACTTAAATCAGTGTTGACCTGTGAAATTAATGAGAATATGTAAAATTAATCGGTCACAATATTAACATGTGAAATTAACTGGATTTTTCAGTTAGAATATTTTGGATCTGATTTTTTCTCCTTTTATAATTCAATAAAAAGAGTGGCTCATCGAAGGTGGATCACGCCACTACCCAAATTTGCAAGGTTGCAAGAAGCGACTTAGCGACAATTAAATTCATTATATTTTTCCCACTCTTTTCGTCAATTAATAAAACCAATTGTCGATGAGAAACCAAGGTCTTTAAAGTGAAGTCTCCGAGTAAGACGAGTGGGACAACCATAGAGAATGGGGACAACCCCTTAGACCAGGGTTGTTTAGAGTGTAGTTAAGGTTTGGAGAGAGACGGGTCTCGAGTGGAGACAGTGTTACGACTCACAATTTGGGGTTGCTTAAAGTGTTTTTTTGTAAAAGAATTTTCTCAGTGGAGAAATTCTTTTAGTTTGATCAGAATATTGATTTTATCGAATTGAGTTGAATAATAGAATGGTAGTAGGAGGAATCCACTACCTTTATATTTAATTTTGTCTTAAGGGCATATTGTTAGCCTACCGGAATTTGTAATAAGAAGAGTCATTTTTTGTTTTATGATTAGTTTCCATAAAAACATAAAACCTTTTCCCATCAAATTCTAACCCTAACAGTACATAGGGTCAGTTGGATTAAATGGGAACAAGAGGTGTTAGAGCTTAATTTACAGTTTTTAAATTAAGTTCAACGTCAATATTTTAACCTCAGATCACCTAAAGGAGGTTCTAAGTATTGCCAAACTTTCATCTTGACAATTGGCAGCAAGATAATTCAAGTTATCGCTCAATGCATAAAAACTTGAAAATCAAAGTGAAACTGTTTTAGTATTTTGTCTCGCATTTCAAAGAAATCAGACTTAAAAATCATATAAAATTTACTCACTTGAATTTTTAATTTTTTTCAATTTAGTTAATAATGACAAGCTGTCCCCTTTTACCCTAAGAATATGAAAATTCGGGATAAAAGGTGACAGTTTTTTATTGTTAACCAAATTGTCAAAAATCAAAAAATTCTGCAACTTTTAATGGAAGAAACTTACGCAATTTGTGAAAAATAAGGATTTTATTCCCATTTACCCCAACTGACCCTATAGAACATTATTTTTTTTTATAACACCTTGCGTCAAAAACTCGACTAAATCGATGTCTTTTACGCACAAGTGCTTAAAAAGAGGGGACATCGTACTTTTACGCATACTTTTCCCTTCCATTACAGCAATTTAGTCGAGTTTTTGACGCAAAATGTTATAAAAAATTATGTATGGGATATAGCCGCAAATAGGGGAAGCTCGACTCGCATGATTGTCAAACTCACACGAGTCTCGCTTCCCCTACTTTTGCGCCATTGACACATAAATGACTATTGTTTTATTTTATATAGGGGTTTCCAATTTTAAAGTATGGAACGTGTACTCACAACAACATTGCATGGCAAGTTTAAGGCAATATTGCAGAGCAATATTCAGAAAATTTTATACGGCAAGTCGGAGGCAATATTGCCAGTTAACATTATATTGTAACATTATGATTTTATTTTGCGATTTTTTAAGTGTTTTTCTCTTAATACTTGGAGCGAGATCACCTCCACGATATTAGTCTTTATTTAATTTTCAATTATTATTTACAAAAGATTTTATTTTACACTAAGAAAAAAATACTGTTGAATCAAATAGTTCCATACTATTGAATTTCCCGTTATTGATTCAATAACAATTTTATTGATTAAAAAGTATATTACATAAAACGAAACTATTTAAATCGAAAGTATGGTACTGTAAAATTAATGCCATTGTGTAAATTGATGCTATAGTTAATTTATTTATATCAACAGAATAATTTATTGATTCTTTGACAATTATTATTATCATTATTAACAATTAATATTATTATACAATTATATTGTATATTATATATATTATATAATATATATAATATATTATTATAATACAATTATTATCATTATTATTATCATCTAAAAGGTAAATTTGAAGAAAATGTGTATAAGTTTGAATCATACAAAAAATTGTTTACTTCAAAGAAGCGAGCTCTTGGAAACGAAAGCATATGTTTTCGTTACAATGAATGGTGTTATTGCGGGCTGCCTATAGCAGATGCTATAAAAATCGTGACCCTACTCTCTTAATTTGAATCAGTGAAATTTCACTGGTGAAATAGCTAAAAGTCGGTTACTGAATCATTTAGTGAAATTTCCACTGAAAATCAGTCATATATCACTGATTTTTAGTGAAAATTTCACTTAATCAGTCAATCTGTTTTACCAATTACCGATAATACAGATTGACTGATTGATTAAGTGAAATTTTCACTGAAAATCAGTGATATATTATGACTGATTTTCAGAGGAAATTTCACTATATGATTCAGTAACCGACTTTTAGCTATTTCACCAGTGAAATTTCACTGATTCAAATTAAGAGAGTATGCATTTAAGACATTGATACCCAACTTATTGAAACATTCTTAACTATTGTCATCAAAATAATGACATGACTTATTATTTCAATTGATTAAACTTTTAATTCATTATTCGTGTGCTTTTGTTTTATAAAATGGCGTCATTGCGGGCAATCTATAGAACAGATTTTTAAAATAAGATTTTTTTCCCTTTTTCTAATATTTTATTTATATATAATATAAAGTTTATAAATGAAAATTTATAAATTTTTTTTTGATTAAGTTACAAAATTTTAAAAACCCATATGATATGTTTAGAATTATAAAAAAATTTATTTTACTATTTTATAATTTTTCGTATTTTTTCGAAACATAAAATTTAAAAATATTTAATTATCAATTAAATTATATTAATAATAATAATATTCTTCATATATTAATAATAATAATATTCTTTTATTTACTTAATATGAGAAAAATCTTGAGGACGATATTTGACACTGTTAAAATAGTGCTAATTTGTATTTATTTGATGTTTTTCAATGATTTTGAATTTATTTTTTTAATTTTTACTTTAAAAAAACAAGTGCTGATCTCGCCTTAATGCTTGGGGCGAGATCACCACTTACAAGAGTAGCGTAGAATGGCTGTAGCTTGAAATAATGAAGAGACCGGACTTGTGTCAATGGAGTAAAATGTAGCAAAACAGTCTGTCTTTCAAACCTTTTTTGGTTTTCGTCTTTATGGACTCGGGGACCGGAGATACAGTTCGCAAACTGAAAAAGTAGTGATCTCGCTCCACTTAACAGGGTGTCTAACAAGGATTAAGAAAAAAATTTACTGACTTCTCCCTGACATTTTTTTGATTTTTCCCTGACTTTTTTTTAATAATCTTATTTCTGCTTTCATTGGACAAAGATATGGTTCCTGACATATTTAACAATAAATCAATTTCTAATGGTAGTAACAAATGGTAATAAAAACCATTAAAATTTTTTAATTCACAAAAAATTTTAATTTTTGTAAAAATTTACAGAAATTTCTTTGACTTTGAATGAAATTTTCTGAAATTCCCTGACTTTTCCCTGACCTGTTAAACACCCTGGTATAAGGAAACTTTCAATTTTTTTAATAGTAGAGTAAATTACTCTACTATTAACAAAAATCTAAAAATTAAAAGTTTTTTAACCTACAAAAACTCAAAATTCACTAAAATTAAAAATATCTTAAAATGTGATAAAATTATGAGAAGAATAAGATTTTTTTTAAAAAAAAAATGTTTTTATCAGTGTTTTAGTAAAATTTGAATTAATTCTAAAATAACCCAAGTAGCACGTAATATTACAGTAATATTATCCGGTAACATTACTGTAATATTCTTGTAATATTAAAATGTCCGCCTCATGGTAATATTACCGGTAATATTACTGCAATATTACAGTAACATTACCGTAATATTATTGTAATATTGCAGTAATATTACTGTAATATTACAGCAATATTAACCGGTAATATTACAGTAATATTATCCGGTAATATTACAGTCATATTACAAAAAATTTCAAAAAACACTTAAATATATTTGACTGATTAATTCTTATCTTTTTGTGTTTTATCATAAAAAACTTTGAAATTTTTATGTATTTCAAATAAACGTGTAACATAACAGTAATATTGTTGTAACATTACAGTAATATTGTTGTAATATTACAGTAATATTACTGTAATGGTACTGTAATATTACAGTAATGTTACTGTAATCTTACTGTAATATTACAGTAATATTACCGGTAATGTTACTGTAATATTACAGTAATATTAACCGGTAATATTATCATGAGGCGGACATTTTAATATTATTGTAATATTACAGTATTATTACCGGATAATATTACTGTAATATTTTTATAATATTACTGTTATATTACTATAATATTACGTGCTACTTGGGAATATACGATGAAAGCGCACAAAATTTAAAACTATAGGTGTATGAATACCTCTTTTTCTCTTTGTTGGAGTCATACCAGAAGTACTGTTCAGGGCAATTTCCTTTTTTTCTCCATAGTTCCAAACGAGTTCAGTATTTGGATTTATATCCATACCAGCTTTAAAAAATACTCGAGGTACACCGTTAATTATACGCATAAATGGCAATACATTAGGCTTATTTGAATGATTCATTAATCTAGCTTTATAAATTGTTTCTTCTGTGGCATCAATATAAGCTTTCTTTCCTTTAAAAGTGATTTCTAATACAAAACAGCCAAAGTTTTCATTGCCATAAATAATTTCACGCTTTTTCATTTCAATCCCATCCGTTATCAATTCTCCAACATATTCAATTAAAATAGTGTCTTTTTTAAAGAATTTTGTAGTGACTAATGATCGGCTTTTATTTTCTGAGAAGTGAACTTCAAAAACAGTTTCATCGATATCTTCGATAGTAGAGACAGACATTTTTGATTTTAATTAATCTAAAAACAAAGTAAAAAATTAACACTTTATTATTCATTTAATTTTTTTAGAATGATTTACATGATTTTTCAACAAACGAAATATAAAATTGAGACGTTATTAAATATAAATACATTTTATCAAAAATGGATGTGATGTAATCAAGAGATTAATTAATATCTTATTATTTTTATTTTTCTCGAAATTTACAAAAGTAGAGTTAAGTGAGTTTTAAAAGTAACCTCAAACTTAAGTAGTTTTGATCAGGAGTACGCGAGATACGTACATTCTGCACTAATTTATTTTATATTTATAACGATGGAAATTTCTAATACTTTATAGGAACTGTATAGAATTTTTAATAAAATTCTATTTCTATTTCTTTCTAGTTCTATAAATTTCTAGAAAATTCTATAAACTTATAGGACTTTCTAGACATTTTCTAGAATTGTTTTTAGAATGCTTTTATTTAAAGTTTTATTTTTTTAGTTATACACTAAAAAAATAATAAATAAAAATAAAATTTTTTTAAAATAGAGTGCTCTTATTATTGGGTAATTTTCTTTCCTAATGGTGTCCTAAAAAGTTATGAATAATAGTAAGAAATTATAAAACTGTTTAAAAGTTTAATAAAATAAAAAACTTGAAAAAATTTATGTTTGATAAAAAAAAATTATATCATTCTAAACACTTTTTAATTTTAATCCAATCACAAAGATCAAGACAGTTCTGACCATTTTTTGAAATTGATTCTTTTTAGTTTCCAGAAAAATTAATTTGTAAAAATATATAAAGTTGAAATTTTACTATGAATAAATTCCTTCTACTTTAAATGCTTTCACAAATTAATTTTTCTTAAACCTAAAAAAATCAATTTCAAAAAATAGTCAGAACTAAAAAGATCATGATCTTTTTGATTGGATTTGAATTCAAAAATGTTTGGAATGATATAATTTTTTTTGTCAAACATAAATTCTTTTAAGTTTTTTATTTTATTAAACTTTTAAACAGTTTTACAATTTTTTCTATTATTTATTTCATTTTAGGACGCCATAATAAAAGCATTCTATTTTTTAAAAAATTTATTTTTTTACATTATATTTTTTAATTATTATAATAAAAATAAATAAGTAGAAATTAATTTTATACAAGGTGCAGAACCAGTCAAAAAGTGTTGGAATAGCTGGTGCAAGTAATATAATATGGGCAAATCTCCAGAATCTGTCGATTTCCTGTTACTTATGATGGAAAACATTTTAATAAGAGATAAGTAAATAAATATATTGTTTATAGATATTAGTGCCATTTGAGAACATATTTTATTGAGAAAATTAATTAAATCACAATAGTTATACTGATAAATTGAATTAAAAAAATTATAAGTATAATTTTTTCAGCATAAAAGAGAAATCATCTAAACTTCAGAATAAACAATAGTTTAAAACGTGGAAAACAATATGTGCTCCTTAATTAAAACTAAATGACAACTATTGAAAAGTGTTACTCGCTTTTATTAATTCATAAAGTTTTTTTCGTTCTGCAGTTTGATAAAAAAAATAAAATAAAATAAGAAAAGAAATACATTACAGATATAATAAAACAACTGTTGAAATTAATTTTTTTTTTGTAATCAAAGAAATTTATTTTTTAAACTATTTAAATTCAAAAATTTATACACCGTCAAATAAAACTTTTTTTCTTTGAATCAAACAAGTTCTACTTAATTACAGTTAGGATTTTGTAATATTAACCCTTATAACACAGGAATGTCTAGAATACCCATGTGTTATGGGGCTAATATAATAATTCATTAAAATTAAAAATTACTTCAATTGAACCGCCGGCAACCAAAAGGGCTTACGCGAGGTTTTCATTGGCCCCCGGAATAGCTGGAGACTCGCTGAACGCAAGCCAACAAAAGTCACGCGTAAACCCTTTTGGTCGCCGGCGGTTCAATTTAATTACAATAAACTTATATTTTTTTTTATTTATTGACATCAATTATCATATTTGGATCATTCCACATGAGATTTTTATTCAATTTTTTTTTGACTGGAACCTTTATTTGAGATAAATTATTGATTTTATTGATTACTGGATAACCTGATTTAACAAATGGATTACTACAACAGAACATATTGACATACATAATGAAACTCAATCCTTAAGTAAATTCTCAAGAACTTTCAAAGGTACATAAAAGTTTACATTTTTCAATTTAAATATTTTAAATTAAAAAAATATGTAATCAAACTCGGTATTATATTATAATTACAAATATATAAAATTTATAATCGAGTAATGCAATTCTGCATTCGCATAAGGTTATTCATTCGTTTAAGTATAGATATTTTCGAGTTATCTTTTTTTTTTGTAAGCCGAACATAACGAGTCATCGTTTTCAATGCAAATTCTACTTGTTCTTTGATTTTTTTGTTGTAAGTCCGAAAAAAACTCGTTACTGGATAGAGATAATAACACATTTTGATTAGGTTTGCTCATAGAGAATTTCCAGCAGATTAATTTATTGAAATTCTCTATAAGAAAAGCCAAATCAAATGGGTGGAATCTCTGCCCGGCTGTAAATATATTCAGAAACGGAGAAGTGTACAAATGCCTTAATATTGCACCAATTATTTAACATAAAAATAATAAAAAGAAATTTAAATAAATTATAATAAAAAAATGTATGCCGTAAAGGATGGTTTATTATCATTAAAAAAAATGAAAATAGTTATGAGGCAGTCTTTACATGTTTGCGTTCGAACACTACGTTTTGCGTTGAATACTAGGAGTGTAACAAGGATAAAGAAATATGTCAGTCTTTCTTTTTCTCATTACTGAACGCAAAAAGGCAGCGTTCAAATGCAAGCACGTAAACACCTCCTAAATATCAAAAATAAAATAATTATTTCAAATAGAAATACCAATAAAATCAAAGATTACCTAGTGTTACATAGAAAGCAAGAAACTCTCAATCAAAAATTAATTTTATTATGTCTAGTTCAATAAAAGTAAAGGAAATAAAAAATAGTGTATCAAAATGGATGCTAGGATTCAATGTCAAAGCAATATGGAAAAAAATTATATTTACCGTAAGCAAAAATCTCCATTTAACTAAAATAAGTTGTTACTTGTCCATAAAACATTATATTTTCGAGAAGGTAATTTAAATTTACAAAACCAATAATTTATTAATTTTAAAGATAATAATCACACGGTAAACATTTTGCTGTCAGAAGAATTTCAATAAGATACACTTATTACTTTTGTAATCTATAATTCAGTAGAGTTGGAATGAAAAAGTGACGACAACAATTGATGTTTTTTAAAATTGTTGATTTCTAAAATTTAATAATTTTGTAATATTATACCTTAAAAAGTTTAAATTACCAAAACTAAAGCAGAACACATTATTCAGCAATTAAAGATAATATATTGATGCACGCAAGTAAAGCAAAAATACCAAGCAAAAATCAAACACAAGTCAAATTTATTTTGTCTATTTAAAAAAAAGTAAAGAAATTGAAAAAGTCTATAATTTCAAGAATAAAAACACTCTGTCAAATAAATACAAGGATTCAATGCTAAAGCAAAATGGGAAAGTCAATGTAAAAAAGCATTCTATATACTTTAAGCAAAAATCAACATTTAACTCTAGAATTGTGAAATATGATTTTATTTTACCAAAATTTCTTAAAATTGACATTTGTTTATTTCGAATGGGGTACCTATTTACCTCAGTTTTCCATTCTAGGGTTAATTGAAATTCGTTTTTACTTGTTCAAAAAATAACATTTTTTAATTAAAAATAAAAATTCACAAATAATGTATGATTCCCAAAAATGTATAATTTTTAAAAAGTAAATAATCTTGTAATATTAAAAAGTTTAAATTATTATAACTTTTGGCTGAACTGCAGAATAGGTAAGTAAGCCTAAGGTTATCTTTATTTAATGAAAGGTATGATAATAATAAAGAAAGTACTTACGTACCTATTCTGAAGTTTAGCCATCAAAATAAAGAAACTGTTTTAAATTGATACAAGAAAGCAATTCCAAAGCAAAATAGAAAAATTAATGTGAAAAGGAATTATATTTACCTTGAACAGAAACCTGAATTTAACTGAACTATATGTCGTTACTTTATGCCCATAAAAAATCACATTTTAAAACAAACAATTTATATTTAAAAAAAAAAAAGAATTTACCAGTATATGGGTACTTTATATTCTGAAACGGTAAACAACGAATTTGTAGGCAGAAAATTTTCAATTACATCTTCTTACTGTATGAAGTACCAAAGTAAAATGGACGAGAGACGCCAAGCCAAGCTCAAACGATTATATATTTTCAATCATAGGTGATTCTACAATACAATAAATATTTAAAGGTGAAACGTCTAAAATATGACACTTTAGGTTGGTATCACAATAGGCAACATCGTATCGTCTTAACGCCTTTCTCCAATAGGTTCCTAAATGTTTGTGTTGCGTAACTAACGCGTTGGTTTCCAAACGCAGTGACGTCATCAACCATTATTATTAATCGCGAACAAAAAGTTTGGTTTATGTTCCTCTTATCTCGGTTTTCCAACTTTACAATTTTTAATGCACATGTTTCTCAATGGCATTTAATAATTTTAATTGAATTAAATAAAAATTAATAAACAAAATAATTATAATTAAAAAATTTAGAGTCTTATAATCATAAACCAAACTTTTCGTTCGCGAGTGTTGTCTATGCTTTGATGACGTAATTGCGCTTGCGAACTAACGCGTCAGTCAGGCAAGGCAATTATTTAGGAACATATTGGAGAAAGGCCTTCAAGGCCTTTCTCCCATTAGATCTAAAACTATGCGTTTCGAATGCGTCGCGTTGATTTTAGCACTGGTTACCATAGCAACTAACGCAGTGCATTTGCGAAACATGCTCTTAGGATCCTATTGGAGAAAGGCCTTCAAATGGTGGGTCTCCAATGGTGCCCTAAGAACAAGCGTTGCG